CCACAAGTATTGGTTTCCAATTTTAATTGTTCTTCTTTATTTTATGCTAGAATTTTTTTTTAAAATCCTCATGGTATTTAGTATTGTTTCAAAATTATATTCAGATTTCTTTTTAAAATTCAAATTCACAAAACCTGGAAATGAAATTTGAATAAGCTGATTTGTTTGGAAAAATACTTTGACAAAAACCTCACTCCGTGGTTTAATAATTCCTTAAATTTAATTTTATAGGACTTCATGATAAATAATATTTTTAAATTCTTAAGACTTTTTTACTCTTGAGCATGCAACATACAACTGGTCATGTGTAAATATTTCTTGTTGAAATTCCAATTTTGTGGGTAGGGACCTGTCTGTGGAGAATTTTATAGTTATGTGGTGTGGGAGCATAAGACCAATTACTCCTTATGTCTTGGAGAGGGCCCAAATTCTGCAGTGGAGTTAGTAAAAGGTTAAATAAATAGTAAAATACAGATTAGTAGTTTTTATTTACTGGATGTTGGAATTAATTGAAGAAGGGAGGAGAATTGACCAGTTGAAATGTTAAGATAAAAGCAACATTGATGAGGATGTTAGTTTTACATCTTACTCTTTATCGATATCTCCAGCCTTTTTTTTTATTTTTTTTCTAAAACTAATATAAATAAAACAATATAAAAAAAACAACAAATCAGATACAAATAAAAATAATGAAATATTTAAAAAAATAACATAATGATATAATAAAATAATAAATAAAATTTAAAAAATATAAATAAAACAATTAAAAACAACAAAGATCATGATATTGTTGTTCTTTCTTAATCTTTATCTATGTCACCAGCCATTTTCAATTTTTCTAAAAGTGATAATAAATGACAATAAAATAATAAAAATCAATAAATTATAATGATAAAATAATTAAGAAAAAATAATAATAATCATAAAATAAATAAAACATAAAAATATAAAAAAAGCAATAAAAACAACAAAGATTAGGATACTGTTCTTGTTTCTTACACTTTATTTATATCTGCAGCCATTTTTATTCTTTTTCTAAATCCATAATAAATAAAAAGAATAATAAATAAAATATAATAATATAATAATAAATAACAAAATAAAACTTTAATAATAATGTAATAATAAAATATAATAAAATAATAAAATAAAGTTAATAATAATGTAATAATAAAATATAATAGAATAACAAAATGAAAAAACTTAATAATAATGTAATATTAATAAAATGTACTAATAAAATAACAAAAATAACAGTTAATAATAATGCCATAATAATAATAATAAAAATATATAAACATAACAAAATAATATATAATAATAAAATATAATATTATAATAATAATAAAATATATAAAATAAAACAATAAAAACAACTAAAATAAGGATATTGTTTTGTTTCTTACCCTGTATCTATAACTCCAGATTTTTTTTAATTCTCTTCCTAAAAAAAAACAATATAAATAAAACAATTAATAATAATAAATAATTAAAATGCAATAAATATATAAATAAAACAATTAATAAAACCAGAGATGAAGATGTTGTTCTGTTATTTTTTTTTTAATTCTCTTTCTAAAAACCAGCCACTTCTATTATTTCAGCAATTCCTTTGGAGTATCCAGGTAAACTTATGATTTATTTTTAGGGTTGAAATTTATGCAGGCTTTTGTGTTTGCCTTCATTGTGATTTTAGTGTGCGTATTTCCTTCCTTTTGTTTGAATTTCCCTTGATCCGCAAGAGGAAAACCCCTCTTCAAAAAAATATAATTTTACCCTTCATGTTGTACAAACTATTGTGTGCATCTAGACATTAGTGTGTTGTTACCTTATAGTTTCTTTTATTTTATTTTCATCTATTGTTAAGTGTCTGTGATTCTGAACAACCCATATATATATATATATATATATATATAAGAATATATATATATATATTGTTTTAATGCTGCTGTGTTGGATAAAGGCTTCTTTTAATGGAATTAAGAAAATTAATTTCTTATTTTTTAAATAACTTTTTTTTTTGTAAATTATGCACAGAAAATATAAGATACTAGACGTTTGTTGAAATCCTCGGAGTATTTAGTATTGTTGAGATTTACAAATTCTACGTTTCGTTCAATTCCGCAAAGCAATCAATGAAATTTGAATAAGCTGATTTGTTTGCAAAAATATGTTGACCAAAAACCTACTTCACAGTTTAATAATTTTTTTTAATTCAATTTAGTTTTATAGGACTTCATGGTTAGAAATATTTCTTTTTTTCCTTTTTGACAGAGAAGAATAAATTCTTAAGATTTCTTACTCTTGAGCATGCAACATAGAACTGGCCATACATAAATATTTCTTTCTGGAGCTAAAATTCCAACTTTTTGAAGCATTTGGCTTTATGAAAGAAAATATATACAAAAACAATATTGCATTTTTATTAATTAAGTATTTATTTTAATCATTAAATTGTTTTAAAATAGTGGGAGTATTTTATATATCAAATAATAAAACTTTTAATTTTTCCAAAAAATTAATGTAAATTTATTCTACTAAGCTGCATACCCTAGTAAAATCAACTATACTTTGTACTCCTTTACCTGTTCCTAAGCATGATTGTCAATATAGACCAGCATCAGGATATGCTCTACTTCCATTTATTTGTCACTTGATCTTCAACATTCACTCTTTTACTTTCACGTTATTCTTCTATGAAAGTGGATGCTGCTTGGAAAAATGAACTTGAAAAATGAACCAACTGCTGAACATTAAGCAGAAACACTTGAGATCATGATAAAATAACCTTTTCCCTTTCCATGTCAATGTCCATAGTATCACATAAAGCCCAAGAGCTACTCAAGGTAGATTGCTACTGAATGAGATGTGTGGTAAGAATGTAAGAGGCAGAAGTAGAAAGTGAAGATTGTGGGGATAGATATTGATTGACCCTTGACTTGAAAAGTTTAAGATTGAAGTGTTCAAGGAAGCATCCACATAGGAGTCTGTTCCACCAAGTAGCAGTTCTTTGGAAGGAGCTATCTCAGTATAACTCCCTTTTTACCAATGGAATACAGAAGGAATAAGGGTGATTGAACCCTGTGGACATATCAAAGAGAGCCTTCGCTGTAATGACCTGAGCTGGTGGCACTAAACAATGGAGCTAATCTCAACATTTGCCATGGAAGTAGTGATAGAGTAATGTTAGGCTTGCAGTATCTGTTGAAAAAAGTGTAGAAAATAATTTATCTACAAGGCTGCATAATCAATTCGTGAAAGCTGGTAATTGAGGATTGGTTACTTCTTGAGTCATTCTTTTGAACAGGAGTAGAGGTTGAACCCTTGTTTCCTGTTTAGGATTGGGTTTCTGATTCCTTCTAAAGTCTACTTCAACTCTGTACTTCAAACGTCTTTGCCTGAACTTTGAAATTTTATTTACTATCTATTTATTTTTCCTCAATAGGAGTAGATAGATTTGCCTATTGTCCAGTTCACACTCCTCCTCAGTCTTTTGAACAGGAGTAGTAGTTTATCCCTTATTTCCTGTTTAGGATTGGTTTTCTGGTTCCTTTTAAAGTCTTTTCTTTTTTTTTTCATTCCCAGTAGCCCTTTCAGTCTTAGTGGCATTATCACCTTGATTGGGGTGAATTGATTAAAAAAATAAATAAATAAAAACAAGATATTACAGCAATACTCCATATTTAGTCTGATATGACTCTTGTGAAGATATAGCATATCAGGGGGAACCAGGTACTTTCTTCACTGGTCAAGGCGCCAACCATTTTTCCCAGAATCTTTAGCAATAGATTATGTATATGTTCCACGTGAGGTTCAGGGTGGACAATAGATGTTCAATGCAAGGAGTCTCACTGAGAGTTCCATATCATGTTGAAACACTGGTTCCCATACAATAACAGATATTAAGCAACATCAAGCTTGGTCAGTACCTAAATGGGTGACTGCTTGGGAACACCGGGTGTTGTAAGCTTGGATGTGTGGGTGGTGTAATGGATAATGGCTTGGAATTGGAAATCACAGAGTTCCAATTTCATTCAGGTTCAGTATATTCACTTAAATACAATTACCTTTGGGAAAGGTTTGAATCGACCTATTCTCCCCTAGCTATGGGTTAATTAGTAGAACTTGTATCAGTAAATAATTATTATCACAAAAAAATTTTGACACGCTACAAATATTTTCTGGCTTTAAATAACCTGCAAAAGTTAATAAACCATAAAAAAACAAAAAACAAATCGATCACCGAGAGTGCAATCATTACGACTGGAGAAAATTCAGGGCCTGCTCAGTGCTTCCAACACATTATGATCTTGATTTTGGAAGTAGAGAAAGTTAGAAGCCAGTTTTTACTGCCATTGTTGTGTTAGAACTAGTTTGGCTCAGTGGCAGGAAAAACTGGCTTAAATGTGTTTCTCAATGGATGCTTTTCTCTTGATATCTGGTGATAAACTAATTGAAGCTTAGTATGTACACACGGTCTCTTAGTCAAATTTGTAATTATGTAACTATTTGAATGTTGATTTTGATTGTTGATTTTTAAATTCCTTAAAGAAACTTCCTCTACATAATTTAATAGTATTTCTTTCGCTGTCCAAAGTTTAAAAGCCAGTTTTGTACTTGTAGTGTTTACTTCATCGAATATATAAAGCTCAAAGTTTATCTGCTTGAGACCCTGAAAATTAATTAAATATATAAAATCTGTTATCTGTCTGTGTGTGCGCGTGTGTAAATATGTAAAACTGTGACAGTAACTACATGTGGTTTTATCATTATATCCACCAGCATGTGTCTTACATCTTGCCCAACTTAGCTGTTCTTGCTTTAGGGAGATAACCAATTTGCATATTATGTAAAACTATGATATCAAATAAATGCAGTTTTATTATTTATATCCACCAGCATGCTTAACTTAGCAGTTGTTGCTTAGTAGAAATTTGAGAGGTTTGTCAACTGGCATGTTCATATATAAGGATTTAATGTCTAAAATAGCCTTGACTTTATCATATTGTTGATGAGATTTCCAGAAAGAAAAGAGATATTATTGATGAGATTTCCAGAAAGAAAAGAGATATTATTGATGAGATTTCCAGAAAGAAAAGAGATATTATTGATGAGATTTCCAGAAAGAAAAGAGATATTATTGATGAGATTTTAGAAAGAAAAAGAGATATTATTGATGAGATTTCAGAAAGAAAAGAGATATTATTGATGAGATTTCCAGAAAGAAAAGAGATATTATTGATGAGATTTCCAGAAAGAAAAGAGATATTATTGATGAGATTTCCAGAAAGAAAAGAGATATTATTGATGAGATTTCCAGAAAGAAAAGAGATATTATTGATGAGATTTCCAAAAAAAAAAAAAGATATTGCTGATGAGATTTCCCCCCCCCAAAAAGAGATATTGCTGATGAGATTCCCCCAAAAAAAAAAAGAGATATTGCTGATGAGATTTCCAGAAAAAAAAAGATGCACAATAGTCATGGCTAGCTTAGATAATAAAAAAAATGTTCAGCTTTAAAAAAATTAAATTTTTAAAAATAACTTTTTTGCTCTTCATTTTCGATATAGATTTTGTGATCTTTCACAATTACAAATTCCATGACTCCTTAGGGTCACCACATCTACTGCAGCCATAGCGACAGGGGGGTTTCATGGGCAAGATAGTCCAACCCTCTCCAGACTGATTTGAATTAAGTTTTCCTTCTCCTATATTGGTTACCAAAGCTCAATCTGCCCTGCTATTTAGACATAGCTGGGAGAAAGAGATGGATTCATACCTTTCCTGAGGTTATTATCATGTGTAGGAGTGTGGTGAGCTTGAATGGAATTTAAACTCTGCTCACCGATTCCTCAATCTGAGCTGCTATCCATTATTCTATTGTGCCGCCTAAATTATTTTGTTGATGGCGTTTATAATTAAATTGTCTAGTTATTCAACTAAAGCTAATTTCTGAAACAGGTAATGACCTTAGCATTTAGATCACAGCTTGGAGAAGTAAACAACATTGGCATTTTTAATAGTATATTTTGAAAAATATAACAAATAATATAAAATAAATGACTACCAAAATGATTAAACCTTGAATTAATTAAGACTACTGTATATAATCATGTATCAAGTGACTTTTAAGACCTGATTTTGAAGCTAATTTTAGGGGGGGGTCTCATCATACATGAGATATAAAATTAGCATATGTACTGCTAGTCCTGGCTACACCGTTGATCAAACTATATATCCATTTACTGAAGTCAAATTAGCTTTAAAATTAAGTCTTCTAAAGTCACATGATACTCAAGTATATAGTGTAATTAAGTCACTAATACTATTTTATATTTTATGCAAATCTCTCAGCCAAAGTGTAGGTTGCAGTGTAGAAAAAGAAAAAGACTTTGCCCAGGTGATGCTGTGTACCACTGCTAGTTGTATATATATATATATATATCCCTGTGCTATATTTGGTCTTGTTGGTTTTAAGCATGTGTGTCAGATCTGCTCTCCACATCTGTTGCAACT